TTTTTTTTTTTTTTTTGAGATGGAGTCTTACTCTGTGGCCCAGGCTGGAGTGCAGTGGAGCGACCTCAGCCCTCAGCTCACCACAGCCTCCACTTTCCAGGTTCAAGCGATTCTCCTGTCTCAGCCTCCCGAGTAGCTGGCATTACAGGGGCACACCACCACGCCCAGCTAATTTTTGTATTTTTAATAGAGATGGAGCTTAGCCATGGTGACGAGGCTGATCTCGAACTTCTGACCTCAGGTGATCTGCCTGTCTCGGCCTTCCAAAGTGCTGGGATTACAGGCGTGAGTCACCGAGCCCAGCCTAAAAAATTATATATATATATGGGTTACATATATTTTGGGGGTATCTGTAATATTTTCATGCCTGTATACAATGTGTAATGATCAACTCAGGGTAACTGGGCTAGCCATTACCTCAAACACTCATCTTTTCTTTTGAGACAGGGTATGACTATGTCACCCAGGCTGGAGCGCAGTGGCATGATCGCAGCTCAGTGCAGCCTCGACCTTCTGAGGTCGTCCCACCTCATCCTCTCGGGTAGCTGGGATTACAAGCATTCATCGCCACACCCAGCTAATATTTTATTATCTGTATAGACAAGGTCTTGCTATGTTGTCCAGGCTGGTCTCAAACTTCTGGTTTCAAGTGATCTTGTCACCTTGATTGGTTTACAAAATTGCTAGGATTACAGGTATGAGCCACTGCTCCCAACCTCATTAATCTTTTCTTTATGTTGGAACATTACAAATACCATCCTAGCTATTTTGAAATACACCATAAAGTATTATTAATTAGAATCCCCCTACTGTACTATTGAGCTATTTCTTATTATACCAAAATATTTTGTTCCTTTGAATGAATAATTTCCTGCAGAGTAATACTCTGTTTCTTGGATATATCAATTCTGTTTATCCATGCCCTGGCTGATAGACATCTGACCTATTTCTGCCTTTTGGCTATTGTGAACAGATTGCTGTGAACACTTGTTTGCAATTTTTCGTGTGGACATATGTTTTCACTACTATTTATTTATTTATTTGAGACAAGAGTCTTGCTCTGTCACACAGGCTGGAATACAGTGGCACAATCTCGGCTCACTGCAACCTCTGCCTCCAGGGTTCAAGCGATCCTCTTCTCTCAGCCTCCCGAGTAGCTGGGATTACAGGGGCCCACCACCACACCCAGCTAATTTTTGTATTTTTTTTAGTAGAGATGGGGTTTCGATACATTGGCCAGGCTGGTCTCGAACTCCTCACAGGTGATCTACCCACCTCAGCCTCCCAAAGTGTTGGGATTACAGGCTCGAGCCACTGCGCCTGGCCTGTTTTCATTACTCTTCAGTAAATTCCTAGAAATGGAATTGCTGGATCAAATGGCTACTCCATGTTACTTTTTGAGGAACTGCCAAACTGTCAAACTATTTTCAAAATTGCTTACATATATATTTTTAACTTTCTGGATATACTATTTAGGTTTATAAACTAAGTGTCTGAGAAAGGTCTCAATCAATTTAGAACTTTATTTTGCCAAGGTTAAGGACATGCCCAAAAGAACTTAACATGGGATTGCAGAAACAGTCTGTGGTCTGTGTCTTTCTCCAAAGATGATTTTGAAGGCTTCAATATCTGAAAGGGAAAAATGGGATGAAGAGGAGAGAAGAGGATGTGGTAATCCATATGTTACAAGAAAAAGGAGCAGGGAACAGTCAATTATGTGTTCATCTGATGCTCAGTAAATTGACCCTGTACATAAGATAAGGTGAACATAGAGTAGCTGCCTGTGGTCTTTAGCCTTTTATCTGTAGCTGTCTGCTTAGGAACAAAAGAAAAGGCTGCTTTTTGCATGACTCAGCTTTCAGTTTGTTTTTTTTCTTTCTGCAGAGCGAATTGGGGTGTTGAGTTTTCCTTTTCCTTTCACAGATTTTTATCTCCCGATTAACTTGATAAACTCCTTGAAGGAAGGAACAGTGTTCTTCTACTTCCTGGCATCTGCCATGTCATTTATGTTAATGCTTAAACCTAGTATTTGTGTGTGAATATGTAATTAAGACAATATGTCCAGCTGGGTGGTTCACACCTGTAATCCCAGCACTTTGGGAGGCTGAGGCAGGTAGATCGTCTGGGGTCAGGAGTTTGAGACCAGCCTGGCCAACACAGTGAAACACTGTCTCTACTAAAAATACAAAAAATTAGCTGGGCATGGTGGCAGGCACCTGTAATCCCAGCTACTTGGGAGGCTGAAGCAGGAGAATCACTTGAACCCAGGAGACAGAGGTTTCAGTGAGCCGAGATTGTGCCACTACACTCCAGCCTGGGCAACAGAGCAAGACTGTCACAAAAAAAAAAAAAAAAGAAAGAAAGAAAAGAAATACTTGATGCTGACCATGGTGGTTCATGCCTGTAATCCCAGTACTTTTGGAGGCTGAGGTAGGAGAATCACTTGAACCTGGGAGGTCAAGGCTACAGTGAGCTGTTATGGCACCTCTGCACTCCCGCCTGAGCAACAGAGTGAGACTCTGTCTAAACGTTCGAAATAAAATGAATACATAATAATAAAAAGAAATACCCAAGACTGGGTACTTTATAAAGAAAAGAGGTTTAATTGGCTCACAGTTCTGCAGGTTGTACGTAAAGCACAGTGCTGGCATCATGTCACATGGCCAGAGTGAGAGCAAGAGAGAAAGCAGGGAAGTCCTAGACTTCTAAACAACCAGATCTATCATGAACTAACTGAGCGAGATCTCACCACCAAGGGGATGGTGCGAAGCCATTAATGAAGGATCCACCTCCATGATCCAATCACCTTCCACTGGGACTCACCCCCAACATTAGGAATCTCCAAATAAGATTTGGAGAGGACAAACAGCCGAACCATAATAAAACCAGTAATAAAAACTAGGATGCCTTCACAAGCTCAGCTCAACTCAAGGATAAGACTTGGAAGTTCTTTTCTCTTAATATTTAATAGAACTGGGATCTCATGACGATGCCCAGGCTAGTCTTGAACTCCTGGGCTCAAATGAACCTCCCGCCTTGACCTCCCAAAGTTCTGGGATTACAGCCATGAACCACCGTACCTGGCCTCTTTTGCCTCTTTTTTTTCTTTTCTTCTTTTTTGAGAGGGAGTCTTGCTCTGTTGCCTAGGTTGCAGTGCAGTGGCACAATCTTGGCTCATTGCACATCCGGTTCCCAGGTTCAAATGATCCTCCTGCCTCAGTCCCCCTAGTAGCTGGGATTACAGGCACATACCACCATGCTTGGTTAATTTTTGTGTTTTTAGTAGAGACAGGGTTTTGCCATGTTGGGCTGGTCTCAAACTCCTGACCTCAGGTGATCCACCTGCCTTGGCCTCACAAAGTGCTGGGATTACAGGCCTGAAACACCCTGCCTAGACTTTTTTTCTTTTTTTTTTGATACAGGGTCTCTCTCTGTCATCCAGGCAGGATTGTGGTGGTGCAATCATGGTTCACTGCAGCCTCAACCTCCTGGGCTCACACAATGATCCTCCTACCTCAGCCTCCTGGGTAGCTAGGACTATAGGCACATGCCAGCATGCCTAAATAATTTTTTTTTTTTTTTTTTGAGACGGAGTTTCACCCTTGTTACCCAGGCTGGAGTGCAATGGCGCGATCTCGGCTCACCGCAACCTCCGCCTCCTGGGTTCAGGCAATTCTCCTGCCTCAACCTCCTGAGTAGCTGGGATTACAGGCACGCGCCACCATGCCCAGCTAATGTTTTGTATTTTTAGTAGAGACGGGGTTTCACCATGTTGACCAGGATGGTCTCGATCTCTTGACCTCGTGATCCACCCGCCTTGGCCTCCTAAAGTGCTGGGATTACAGGCTTGAGCCACCGCGCCCGGCCCAATAATTTTTTTTTTAACTTCTTTTGTAGAGATGGTTGCGGGGGTGGAATCTCACTATGTTGCCCAGGCTGGTCTTGAACTCCTGTATTCAAGCAATCCTTCCACCTCAGCCTCCTAAAGTGCTAGGGTGACAGGCATTGAGCCACTGTGCTTGAAAAAATTTGAAAGTTCTTTATCCTCTCTGTCTTCTGGCCTTCTGTGGATACTTCTCTATCATCCCCTAACACTTTTTGAGCCAAGGACGAGAAAAGAAGTGGAGAGGACCAGAGTCTGGCTCATCTCACACAATTGTGTCCTTGCAAGAACTCCAAGGATCTCCAAACTTCTAAATTTAAATCTGGTCAACATTATGACAACATATTTGTCAAGGTAGAAGGATATAAAATTTTAACAATTTGCTTGCTTAATTTATAAATTTTAAATATCAAGTCTAGAGTTTCTTTCTTTATCTGTGCATTGGGCTTTGCAAATGTTAGAAGCAATCCTCCCTCTCTTTTTTCCTCTTCTTGCCAACTCTTCTGAGGTATGTTCTTAGCATTCTCATTAAAAGAAGGGGGCCACGCGCGGTGGCTCATACCTGTAATCCCAGCACTTTGGGAGACCAAAGCAGGTGGATTACGAGGTCAGGAGATCGAGACCGTCCTGGCTAACACAGTGAAACTCCAGCTCTACTAAAAATACAAAAAATCAGCCAGGTGTGGTGGTCCATGCCTGTAGTCCCAGCTACTTGGGAGGCTGAGGCAGGAGAATCGCTTGAACCTGGGAGGTGGAGGTTGCAAGGTTGCAGTGAGCTGAGATCATGCTACTGCACTCCAGCCTGGGTGACACAGCAAGACTCCATCTCAAAAACATAAAATAAGGAAGGGAGCCCAAAGCACTGACCTTGCCCTTTCCTGTCTTGAATTTGTGTCAGCTATGCCTTCTATATAGTGGAATCACTAAGAGACTCAAACCCTAGCAAGCAGAGACAGCTTGGGAAAGAGTATGATGCAATCAATGTATTTAGGTCTCATTTGGCAAAGGTTGTCGGGTGTTAAAAGGAAGAAAAAAATCATGTCAGAGTGGGTTAAAAATAGAAAGCCTCATCAGCAGCTGCAAGAAGCCCAGGAATGATAAGCAGGGGTATGCAACACGTGTGAGCACTCGCCTCATGGAAAAAAAAAAACACCTAATCCGGAGAAGCTCACAGAACTTTCATTGTCTTTCATTTACAACTTGCATTCATTGTCACACTACCTCCCTGGGAGGGGATATTTATTATGTTTTCTTGAAGATGAGGAAACTGAGGCACAAATAACTCAAGTATTACGGTATGTTAATTATCCCTCCTTTTTTTTTTTTTTGAGACAGGGTCTCTTGCTCTGTTGCCCAGATTAGAGTGAAGTGGCATAATCACAGCTCACAGCAGCCTCGACCTGCCAGGCTCAAGTTATCTTCCCACCTCAGTCTCCTAAGTAGCTGGCACCATAAGCACGTGCCACTATGCTCGGCTAAATTAGAAAGAGGGTCTTCCTGTGTTGCTCAAACTGATCTCAAACTCCTGGGCTCAAGTGATCCTCCTGACTTGGACTTCCAAAGTGCTGGGATTACAGGGGTGAGCCACCACATCCAGACATAGCTTTTTTTTTTTTTTTTTTTGAGCCAGAGTCTCTCTCTGTCGCCCAGGCTAGAGTGAAATGGCGTGATCTCGGATCACTGCAACCTCTGCCTCCTGGGTTCAAGGATTCTCCTTCCTCAGCCTACCGAGTAGCTGGGATTAAAGGCTCACACCACCATGCTCGGCTAATTTTTGTTTCACCATGTTGGCTAGGCTGGTCTTGAACTCCTGACCTCCGAAAATCCACTCATATTGGCCTCCCAAAGTGCTGGGATTATAGATGTGAGCCTCTGTACCCGGGCAGCTCAATTTTTTTTTTTTTTTTTTTTTAAGTCAAATATCTTGCCCAAGTTCACAAAATAAGGCTACTAAATCAATGTTTGACCAGGACGAGTTACAGAATTTACAGGGCCCATTTACGGAATTTTCATTCGCAAAAGGAAACTGTGGAACTCTTTGTCTCTTTGTTCAATTATTATGAGGAATTTCTTTTTTTTTTTTTTTTTTTTTTTTTTTTGGTCGGAGTTTCGCTCTTGTTACCCAGGCTGGAGTGCAATGGCGCGATCTCGGCTCACCGCAACCTCCGCCTCCTGGGTTCAGGCAATTCTCCTGCCTCAGCCTCCTGAGTAGCTGGGATTACAGGCACGCGCCACCACGCACAGCTCATTTTTTTTTTGTATTTTTAGTAGAGACGGGGTTTCACCGTGCTGACCAGGATGGTCTCGATCTCTTGACCTCATGATCCACCCGCCTCGGCCTCCCAAAGTGCTGGGATTACAGGCTTGAGCCACCGCGCCCGGCCCTATTATGAGGAATTTCAAGACAGTGACAGCAAAGCACTAAACCAAGCATGGGAACTCTGGCCCTGTATAGGTTGGTTGCCCAGGAAGCAGCACTTTACATGGTGCAGGTAACGCCAGACGTAGACCTCAGATCTCGTGGTTCCCAATCAGGTGTGTGAATGTCTCAAGCAGATCAGTGGTTCTCAAACTGAGGGACACCAATGCCCGGGGTTCCTCTGTTATATTTCTCTATCAGTTACACTTTTTGGGGTTGCTTTACTTTACTGTCATCACTCAAGTCTGAGAAACACTGGGGCATCTCTCTTTGTATCAGCGTCAGTCCCTCTACACAGGGACAGAACCATATTTTGTGGAAGCCCAAAACCTACGTAACTCAGGGGGGCCTCATTAAGAAAAAGAATAGAAAATTATAAATAAAATGTAAGTGTTGAAAGTTAGGCCCATGCACGTGAGGAGTCCTGAGGCTTTGGCTTCATTGACTTTGTGATAAATCTTTCTCTTTCTGCATCCACCCGTGTCCCTGACATCATCTCCTCTCACCTCCTCAAGGACTTGGCTTCCTTGATTATCCCTTCCCTTTCCTGTGTCTTTAATTTCTTTTCTTTTTTTTTTTTTTAAGATGTGGTTTCACCCTGATGGCCAGGCTGGTCTTGAACTCCTGACCTCAGGTGATCCACCCACCTCGGCCTCCCAAAGTGCTAGGATTACAGGCGTGAGCCACCACGCCCGGCCCCTGTGTCTTTAATTTCACTGCATCTACAACTATTTCCCTGCTGCTGTCCTCTTTGACTCCTTCTCTCTCTCTCCAGGAGCCTTCCTTGCCTCTGATCTCTTCAGAGCCAACCTTCTTGTTAGAGTTAAGTCTTCACACACTACTCCTTCGCCTTCCATTCCCCCTTCCTCCTGTTATTACTGTAACTGAGGTGCAAGTCAGTCTGCAAGTCACTCTGCTTGCAGAGTTCAAGTAACAAGAGTGAGGTCTGGTACAAAGAAAGTGATTTATTTCCAAAGCTAGCTTAGGAGAAGAGGCACAGGCATCCTACCTTTAAACAAACACTTTTCTTTTGGAGCAGAAAGCAGGCACTTTTAAAAGGCAGGGGAGGAGGCAAGCAAGGTAGGGGTCCACGTGCTAGCTTAATGCCTTATCTACTGGGCAGCTGTGCTGGTGACTGCTGGCACCTTACTAGGCTGAAAACTCTCCAAGTTGGAGAGAGTAGTGGGCATGCTTTTTGACTGTTATCGCTCTAGGCAACCTCCTGGAGGGTGGGAGTTCCAACGTGGGCATACTTTGGTCTGCAAGTGGACTGTTAACTCTCAAGGAGAGTTCTGTCTGGAAGCACAGTTAGATGAACTTGCCCTGTAGGGAGTGTCTGGTGATGGGGAAGTAAAAGGCAATATTTGCATTTCTAAAGGGCTAAGTAGGAGGTGAGAAACCAAGGGAATGAGAAGTGAGAGAAAATAATTAAAATATCTCTTAGAAAAAATGGGAATACTCAGTTACACTACCTTGCTTCTGTTCCTACCCCTCCACTGAAAAATGGATTTTTTGATGTTTCTTAACAATATATGGCTTGCTTGTTGCTTGAACCTGTGAATCTGCACTCATTTCTACAACTGGACTTCTCAGCAGCATTTGCCATAGCTGGGAGCTCTCTTTTTCTTCAAACTCCTTTCTCAGCCTCAATGACACCACAGCCTCCCTGTTTTACTCTTAGGTCTCTGATTGTTCCTTTTGTTCTCTTTTGGAGGGCCCTTGTCTTCTACCCAAACTAAGTGTGATAGATGAAGTAACCAAATCACACAGAGCTCAGTCCTAGTGTATTAGTCCGTTTTTAGCCTGAGACTGGGTAATCTATAAACAAAAGAGGATTAATTGACCCACAGTTCTGCATGACTGGGGAGGCCTCCGGAAACTTACAATCATGGTGGAAGGCAAAGGGAGGCAAAGACCTTCTTCACACGGCGGCAGGAAAGAGAGCACACAGGGAAAACTGCCATTCCTAAAACCATCAGATCTCTTGAGAACTCCCTCACTATCACAAAGCGGTATCCCCATGATCCAATCACCTCCCACCAGGTCCTTTCCTCCACACATGGGGATTACAATTTGAGATTAAAGATTTGAGTGGAGACACGGAGTCAAAGCATATCACCTAGAGCCCCTTCTCCTCTCTATTTACACTTTCTTCCTAACCACTGTGATGGTGATATTTGTATCAAGAACTTAAGGAGGTGAGAATATGAGTTCATCTGAGGTAAGAGCATCAGGCATGGAGGAGACAGCAGGAGGCCAGTGTGGCTGGAGTGGGTCAGTGACACGGGAGAAGCTGGAGATGAGGTCACAGATAGTGAGAATGGAGGACGGATCATGTAAAGCCTAAGTTGGCCATTGTAATGCTTTTGGTTTTTCCTCTGAGCGATGTGAGAAGCCAGTGCAGCGCTATGAGCAGAGGCCATGGTTCTGGCTTAAATCTCAGTAGGATCACTCTCATGTGCTAAATGTGAAAGAACGGGTGAACAAGCAAAGAAGTGAATGGAAGAAAATGGAGACAAGAGGCCAGGCATGGTGGGTCACACCTATAATCCCAGCACTTTGGGAGGCCAAGGCGGGTGGATCACTTGAGGTCAGGAGTTCAAGACCAGCCTGGCCAACATGGTAAAATCCCATCTCTACTAAAAATACAAAAAATTAGCTGGGCATGGTGGTGGGCTCCTGTAATCTCAGCTACTCGGGAGGCTGAGGTAGGAGAATTGCTTGAACCTGGGCGATAGAGGTTGCAGCGAGCCATGATCACGCGATTACACTCCAGCCTGGGTGACAGCGAGACTCTGTCTAAAAGAAAAAAAAAACAGAAAATGGAGACAAGAAAGAAATAAAGGGCTAGGCTCAGTGGCTCACGCCTGTAATCCCAGCACTTTGGAAGGCCAAGGCAGGTATATCACCTGAGGTCGGGGGTTCAAGACCAGCCTGACCAACATGGAGAAACCCCATCTCTACTAAAAATACAAAATTAGCTGGACATGGTGGCATGCACTTGTAATCCCACCTACTCAGTAGGCTGAGGCAGGGGAATTGCTTGAACCCGGGCGGCAGAGGTTGCAGTGAGCCAAGGTCCCACCATTGCACTCCAGCCTCAGCAACAAGAGGGAAACTCCATCTCAAAAAAAAGAAAGAAAGAAAAAGAAGAAAAGCTGGGCACATGCCTGTAATCCCAGCTACTCGGGAGGCTGAGGCAGGAGAATTGCTTGAACCGGGGAGGTGGAGGTTGCAGTGAACTGAGATCATGCCACTGCACTCCAGGGCTATAGAGCGAGAATCCTTCTCAAAAAGAAAGAAAGAAAGAGAGAGAGAGAGAAAGAGGGGAAGAAAGGAAGAAAGGAAGAAAAAGAAGAAAGGAAGAAAGTAAAGAAAAGAAAGAAAGAGAGAAAGAGAAAGAGAGAGAAAGAGCAAGCGAGAAAGCGAGAGAAAGAAAAGAAAGAAAGAAAGAAAGAAAGAAAGAAAGAA